GAGTCGGTACGATTCGAATCCGTTCGACGAAGAGGAAGTCAATCCTTTCGCGGTATGTGGAAATATACGTATCTGATTTAATAGATCTGTGTATCATTTTTTTTATATTTGCGTACGTACATTATACGCGTATACGCGTATTTTGTTTCTGATTTCTAGATTCTTTGTAATGTTGTTTTGTTGATTGTGTTGTTTGGTTGCTGAGAAAATGCGGAGGGTTTTGAGAGAAAAGTTGAACAGTTTGGATCTTATTTAGACTAGAAAAGTTATTCTATTTTTTTTTTTTAAATATTTGCTTAATTTAGCAGTCTTAATTATAGATTCACATTTCTATTATTATTAGTTTTTTTTTTTTTTCAATTTGAGTTGAGATACAGAAATGGAGGTTATATTTTTGTTTGTTTGTTTGTTTGTTTGGTAATGGAAGGATCAAGGAGGAAAAGGGAAAGGATCAGGGCAGTCAAATTATGGCGGAGGCGCGTTTTATATGCCTGTAACTTTCTTTTTCTCCTCATTTTTTCCGCATTTTAGAATGTGCCATTGGCTTTTGTTTCTTTAATGAAAGAAGGAACTTATTTCTTTGATTTAGAAGTTTGTAATTGGTTCATGTCAACTTTGTCCTTTGTATGAGTTTGGGACTGCTATCCTGGTTTGAACATGAAGTTAAGTCCAATGTAGGCGTAATTTTACCGGGGATGAAGATTTTAAGTTGGTTTAAGGATAGTTTATGCCATCGTTGAAGTAACTACACCTTTCCCTCCTGAAAAGTTTTTGAATCTTATTTTAGTCGCTATATTTTGTATGGATTTGAGATGAAGTTTAGTGCTGCACCTCAAACATGAACATGAAGTCTGAGAGTGAAATTAAGAACCTATAAGTGACATACAAGTACAATGAGAACAGGAGCACAAGCTCAGAATGCTTAATGTTTCTCTTTATTAATTTTTTTAGGCCAATTTCTTGTTTAGCCAGCATGCTGTATTGATCTTCTACTTGTTGCAGAGTGCCAGTCCTAAGCCACACCTGGATAGTGGGACAGGTTTATTGTTCTTGCATTCGTACATATAAATATATATCTGTATGGATTTTATGAATCGGTGGTGGGATTCTGTTTTGGTGGTAAGGATTTCTGCTTTGGTGCTGTTGTTAACTTACTCTCTCTGTTTTTTTTTGTATTCTTGCGACTTTTTTTAGAATCCTGGAAGTGTCCCCCCTGCAAATTCTAGGCTTTCACCCCTTCCTCATGAACCCTATGACCGTGGTGCAACCGTTGATATTCCTCTTGATTCTGGAAAGGTACTATAAATGCTTTAAATGTTTCATCTTGTAGTTAAATTATCTGAATGTTGCTTCTTATTTTTGTTTTTGTTCTTTGTCTAACTCTAGGATTTGAAAACTAAGGAGAAGGAACTCCAAGCTAAAGAGGCTGAGTTGAAGAGAAGGGAACAGGCGAGTGCTATGATATAGTAGCTTGTGCACTAGATGCTTGCATATTTTATATACAATCTGCTGCTTCATGAAATAGCTAATTTGGATGTGCTTGTTAGTTTTTTGGTCCATATTTAGTTCATTTTTTAGCAAGAGAAATAGATGTTAATAGTAACTACTATTAGTGGATAGTTGATAATTGGGTGCTCGTCAACTTTCTTTTCGGAATCCATATCACATCCAGAAATGTTGCCTGTTGGCCAAAGATTTTCAATCAGCCTTATGTTGTCCTCATTTCATACTTCTATAATCCATGAGTTTTTCAGTCAATGAAACCTTCAATGTGTTTTGCAATTTCTTTCATTTGTAAACTTCCATTATCCTCATTAGTAATTCAGAATCAACCTTCTTGTTGTTTTCCAGGAACTAAAACGCAAGGAAGATGCAATAGCACGTGGTTTGTTTACCATATTGATGTTTTTTTTTTTAGATAATGAGGCTTTGCATGGTAACATTTTACATAGTATAATGCTCTTTGTTTCATTTTGACAGCTGGAATTGTAATAGAGGACAAGAATTGGCCACCATTTTTTCCAATTATCCATCATGACATTGGAAATGAAATACCAATCCACCTACAGAAGATGCAGTATGTTGCATTCACAACATTGTTGGGTATGTTGTAATGCTACTTCTTGGAATTTCAATTCAATGTTTGTATCTCTGGATGCCACTACTTGTTTTGTACTGTTTGCTGCTTATTGTCCTTGATAGTCAATTTTGTTAGGTTGGTCTTCAAGTTTCAGTCCTGTCAGCAAGGAGAACCTGGAGACAACATTGTCAAACTTGTGCATTTTCATCTCTAAGATGGACTTTGTATCTTAAATTGTCAGCATCTTGTTTTGTTTAGTTGGGTTTAGGTCATTCCTGTGACCGGTCCTGTAGCTTAAATTGTCATAACACAGTTCTGTTTGGTTGGGTAGAGGGTGGACCAATTTGAGAAATGTTTCCACAAACATGTATCAGCTCTGTAGTAACGTATTATTATGCAATTGCAGGTTTATTTGTCTGTCTTTTGTGGAATATTATAGCTGTTACCACAGCCTGGATCAAAGGGGAAGGTTGGTGCAAATCCACTGAACATATGTAGCACATCGTTATGTTACCTTCATCTAAACTCCTTTTCTCTTCTAGGTCCAACAATTTGGTTTCTTGCTATCATCTACTTCATATCAGGGGTTCCTGGAGGCTATGTTATGTGGTATCGACCTCTTTATCGTGCAATGAGGTATTATTCTTTGGTCATTCATGGCTGAACCTTCAATTTCTTTTTTATGATGTGAAAGATTGGTGGGACCAGTGAAATTTCTCCCATGACAATCCTATACTCTTATAGCACATGTTTCCTATTCAGGCCCCTTTGCTTTTGAAACCTTTGAGGATGCTGTAAATATTTAAATATGATTAGATGAGCTTGATTCATGTTTTTGCGGCAATCAGAAATGACCTTATGGATGGTGAGAAGGCCTGATTTTTCATATTTAATAATAATAATAATAATAATAAGTGCAATGATAATAATAATAATAATAATAATCCAGACATGGTTGGTGAAATTTTTTATGCAAAAGCCTAATTTGAATTGGATATTTGATGAACCGAAGCATAATCTTGTAAAAGAACATGTACTTCTTGAAAGTGTGGGAAGAATGTGACATACTCTGGTAAGGACCTAAACTTACAAAAGGAGGGGGAGAGGGAGGTGAGGGGAGCTGAAAAATGTGTAAAAAAAAAAAATTGCAATGCTCTGTGCTCAGGGCTTCATGTTCAGTTACTCTTTTATCTGGTTGTCTACTAGCATGGGGGAGAGTCACAATTCTTTAATGTTGGAAAGCTTAATGAAACTAAGAAACTGTAACTCGGAAACTCATTAGAGAAACGAGATCAAATTGGTATTTGCATAAAAACTCAGATATTTTCATATCCGTAGCTATTTGAGTCTTTGCTTCTATGTCACATATCATTTAATTAAAATAGATTGTTCTGCTAACTGATAAAGAAGATTTTCAAATGATGATATGTTTTGAACTTCGTACTTGGTATATGATGTATGAATGGGTTCAGAATAGCTGGATCCTTTTTTTCTGGATTTAGCACCATTGGACCACACTGGTAATTCTTGTGCATTATAACTTGGCAATAGGCTAATGAAAAATAGAGGAATGGGTTTTGACGTACTTAATTATGCTTTTAACTCGTAAGAATGTAATGGTTTTAGTTATACTAATTTTTTTCATTGTTTCATTATATGCATTATGTTATCCTAACTTCTATTTAACATTGTACCAACTCTCTTGCAGGACAGATAGTGCTCTGAAGTTTGGATGGTTTTTCTTGGCTTACCTGGTAATCTCATTTGTGTATTTCTTTCCACTTTGAAGATCCTTTAGAAGATCCCTCATTTTTCGTTCTTTTGTTCTCCGCACAGATTCACATTGGCTTTTGCATCTTCGCTGCTGTTGCTCCCCCAATTGTTTTCAAGGGCAAATCTCTCGCGTAAGTTTTCTTTTAGATGTTGCATTGAAGATAGTTCTTTTGCTAGAAAATCATGACATAGCTTTGTTCAGAAAATGAAAAAACTATTCTGGGAAATGAGGAGAATGTCTTAGTGTAAGAATTTCATATTATTATTGTTTTGTTGGAGTGTCTTTTCCTGAAGTGTTGGGCAGAGATTGATCCAGTAGAAAATATATTGATTGTGTTTCCTTTAATTTCTCTACTCTGCTAATGTTTGTGTGATCTTTGTGGACAGAGGTATTTTGCCTGCTATTGATCTTCTGGGCAAGCATGCTTTAGTTGGGGTAAGTTTTCACCTTTTTAGTTGATTGTTCTTTCCTTCATGGTATTAGCAAACCTCCACTGCTATTATGGAAGTACCTTCATGCTATATGGTACGATTATGATTCATATTTAGAGTTAGAGTTTCGATGATATATGGCTTTGTAAAATTATCTGAGTCAACTTGAGAATAATGGGAGAAATGCATCTATATATTTGATTGTGAACCATTCGATGCAGATGTCCCTGCAAGTCTGACTTTAATAACACTACAATTTTTGTTTGCAGGTATTCTACTTTATTGGATTTGGATTCTTCTGCGTTGAATCACTCCTCAGTATCTGGGTTATTCAGGTTAAATAAATTCTCCAACAGCTTGTGCTATGCATCCCTGCTTACCATTTCATCATGGTTTTGCTCAAGGTTCTTTGTTTGTTGGTCCTGATTTTGCAGCAAGTCTACATGTACTTCCGAGGTAGTGGGAAAGCTGCAGAGATGAAGCGCGAGGCTACAACAAGGACCATGATGGCTGCCCTATGACATTGCTCCCACCGGATGAAGATTGTATTCTTGTATGGAATCGATCCCTTCCATACAAAAGGCGTCTTGCATCATTATTAACCTTGTCGATGTGTTCATCTTTAAATACAGTTCTCAAACAAAAGAACTTGGCAGATTAGAAAAATTGGATAGGATTCATCTTTAGAGTATTGTGTTCTGCTGAGGCACCGGCTTCATGAGACTGAGGTTGATACATTGTTCCTCACTTTGTGTTTCTCTAGAATGATTGGCATTTGTATGTTAATTCTTTTCGCACTTGTAGTGATTGTAAAGAGAGGCAGAATCCGCGACTACAGTTGATTAAAATTTTGATGCTCGTCGAATGCACCAAATTTAATTTATGTTTTTTACCGATGTTTATAGCAATGGCAAGTCCAGGTCGAAACCATACTTAAATTGTTATTTTTTCATTGAGTAATAATTAGTCTAGATTTACCTTGATGCTATAATAAATCTGAATCTTCAATGAATTCATTAACTTAGAACTTTGTGCATGAATTAAATTTTTATTATTGATTGATTTTGGTATTAATGCAATCTTAGTCTAATCAATAATAGCGTTAAGAATTAGAAAGAAAGACAGCTAAGACTAAAACAATTTTAGGATGCTTAAATCAGATAATTCATTCTTCTATTTGTCTTGGGCAATCAAACATAATTTGCTCTTTGTATTAACTTTTTCGAACAAGTATAGATTAAGAGAAGTAGTTAGCAATCAATCACAATAGATAATTAACTAATTGATCACCTTAGATAATTATAATTTAATTCAAAGATCAATTAATTATGATCAGAAAAAGAAGAAGATATTTTAATCATAAAAAATATATCAACGATCAAACTCATATCTCATAATCTTTTACGAATTGAACTTAAAATCCCTTGAATTGAATTGATGAAATTAGCTAAACATTGTTTGATGCATAAAACTCGAAATAATAAAGAAAACATGTAAAGCAAAGTTTATATCTAATGTGTAGCCTTAGAGGCTATTTATACATGTAAGGAGATAAATATAGTTTCCAAATTTAACTAGAACTTGTTTTCTGAATAGAACTCTAGATTATGTTGGAACTTCTGAATTGAGTTAGGGTTATAAAAAGGCAGAATCTGGACTTGGACTCTTCATAAAGATTGTAGGCCTAAATGTCTTCTTTTTATAGGTTTTCGAATTATCTTAATCGGATATGTATACCTCCAGATATGGTCTAAAAACTAAGCAGTGTTTTGGACTATCACAGGATCCAAATTTCTTTCAAATTCTTCCTTAACTTTGCAACTGTCTTTGACAATCCAAAATTGAATGGATTTTCACGTGTAAACCAAATCTGAAAAGATTAAGATGCCTATTTTGATTTTTAAAAGGGCATTTTTTATGTTCGAAGCTCTAAGGATGTAAAATTCTTATTTGTTACTTTAAAGATCAATTTGCAAATATGAAATTTCATTTAAATTAACACATTTTTGCTCATTTGACTTTAATCATCTTCTAAATCACAAAATAAACATAATTCAGCACATAGAACCCAAAATCATGTCCAAAAAAACTAAATATAAAAGAATAAATATCATCAATAATGTTCATTATCAATGACTTTAGCCTTTAATTGTTCAGTCAAACAAGAAGTGCCAGTCATTTGGAATGATCCATGAGATGATTATATGTGTGCTATCGCACCAGTTTACCTGTAAACCTAGGCTAGTTGATTCAATTAATATTGGCCTATTTTGTTTATGTCTATCCATGGACATAACTTCGTTTGTTGCAATGAGTGGTGACTCTTCACATTTTGTTGTTGTTGGATATCTTGTGTGAATGCCTCTGATGATTTTTACAGCTCCACAATGTTCCATTTTACATCAGATGAGTTCAGCCAATGGGACATGAAATGAACTATGCAGTTACTTGACATCAGCAAAGCTTATAAAGGAAACTAGTATGATCGTTAAGAATCTTAAAGCTAGGAGTGGTCTGTTCTAATATTTTCATCCAAAGAAGAAAAGTAGAATTAAAAAAAAAAAAAAAATCCATTCTCAAGTTGGAACTCTTGTCAAGAAAGAAATTATAGTGAATGCATCAATTCAGGAATTTATTATCGATCATGTGACGAGTGAAAGTCAGAAGAAATGCAGACGCAAACGAGAAAGCAGATTCTTGGATATTTTGAATGTTAAAAAAACCAAAGAAAGTTCTTCCTTGAAAATCTCTTGCCAATCTTTTTTTTTTTTCATACGTTAGTAATTTCTATAGTTTCAAATAATAGCTAATAATACCAGTTATGAAATATAATGATCGTTATTCAATGAATTTGAATATGTTGGTATGCATTATACATTATTGTAGTGAGTACAATAATGTTTTATTTAAAAAACAACAATAACAATCACTTACCCACTTGAAAGATTAGTGTTTTTTTCATTATTTTTTCAACTTTGCAATAAATTCAACTATTATTATAATTAAAAAATTTATTACTATGTTTAATTAATAAAATTATTAAAAATATATGAATTAAAATAAATTTATTAACAGTTATTGATGTATTTACGATATCGATTATTACGATTATTATTGTCTTAGAGTAAGAAGTCGAAACCGTTATTGCGATCGCGATTGTTTTTACAATCGTATTAATAATTTAAAATTATTATAATACACAAATAATAAATTAAACAGAAAAACTCATTCAAAATAAATAAAAATACACAAAGTCTTACATGTTTTTTTCTTAAGAAGGAAATAATAATTCCATTAATATTAAAAAAAAATACAAACAAAATTACTATTTCCCACTACATTCAGATTTTTACACGTTGCAATGAAAGAAACGCAAACTCAGCAGTACAAAATGAAAACACACGTTCTTACTATTTTACCCTTCACATTCATCGCTATTTCCCTTCTGCCCTTTGCTAGCAGCCCACAGTCGACTGACAAATATCAAGCAACTTGCAAGAAGTCAAGAACACTGAACCCACTTCAATTCCTAACCAAAATTCTTGAACCCCAAAACCCCAACTTAAAAAAAAAAAAAAAATGCTTCCCAGTGGCAGCTACAGTTACACTCACAGTCAAACTTCAAGAGAATTAAGGCATCAAATCCTCCTCCAACAACACATTTATTCTCCAAGTAAGCTCCTTTCTCTTCATTCTCCTAAGGTTTTTCTAGGGTTTAATAACAACCATCTTAAAAATCACAACTTTTCAAGAAAAAAACACTGCCCTTTACCCAATAATTCTTTACTTGGTGATAAAAAAGTTGTATATTCACAAACCCAGAAGCAAAGAAGTAAAGAAAGTAGGGTTTCGTTAGGGTTTAAGCTTCAGTGTCACTCAAAGTCTCTAAATTTACCAACAAAGGGTTTTTCAGTGAATGGAAAAAAGAAGAAGTATGGAGGTATTTTGCCTTCAATTTTAAGGTCTTTGGAGTCTAATAATGATGTTGAGAAAACCCTTTATTCGTTTTGTGAGAATTTGAGTCCTAAAGAACAGACTGTGGTTCTCAAAGAGCAGAGGAATTGGGAGAGAGTTGTTAGGGTTTTTGAGTTCTTTAAGTCGCAGAAGGATTATGTTCCGAACGTGATTCATTATAATATCGTGCTTCGAGCTTTGGGTAGAGCTCAGAGATGGGATGAATTGAGGCTTCGTTGGATTGATATGGTGAAAAGTGGTGTTTTGGCGACGAATAATACTTATGGAATGCTTGTTGATGTGTATGCGAAAGCAGGTCTTGTTGTTGAAGCCCTTTTGTGGATTAAACATATGAGACTTAGAGGGTTATTTCCAGATGAGGTTACAATGAATACTGTTCTAAAGGTTTTGAAGGATGCAGGGGAGTTTGATAAGGCAGAGAGGTTCTATAAGGACTGGTGTGCTGGCAGGGTTGAGTTGGATGGTCTTGAATTGGATCCTATGGTTGATTCTAAAAATGGGTCTCGATCTGAACCAGTTAGTTTTAAGCATTTTTTGTTAACTGAGCTTTTCAAAACAGGAGGGAGAATGAAAATCGGGGGTTCATCAGATGAAGAAACATTGGCTAGGAAGCCACGTCTAACCTCTACGTATAATACATTGATTGATTTGTATGGGAAGGCAGGACGTCTCAAGGATGCAGCTGAAGTCTTTTCAGAAATGTTGAAATCTGGTGTGGCAATGGATACTATCACTTTCAATACTATGATCTTTACTTGTGGAAGTCATGGACTTCTGTCAGAAGCAGAGTCTTTGCTCGATAAGATGGAAGAAAGACAAATATCTCCTGATACAAGAACTTATAATATCTTTTTATATTTATATGCTGATGCAGGAAATATTAATGCAGCCGTTGAGTGTTATTGGAGGATTAGAAAGGTGGGTCTTGTTCCTGATAATGTATCTCGTCGAACTATACTTCATATACTATGTGAAAGGAATATGGTAAGGGAAGTGGAGACTGTAATTGAAGAGATGGAGAAGTCGTCTCAGCAAATTGATGAGCATTCTGTTCCTGGTATTGTTAAGATGTATATTAATGAAGGTTTGCATGATAGAGCAAAAAAACTTTTAGACAAGTGCCAGTTTGGTGTTGGATTCTCATCAAAGGTTCGTGCTGCAATTATCGACGCTTATGCTGAAAGGGGGCTTTGGGCTGAAGCAGAGGCTGTCTTTTATGGCAAAAGGGATTTGCTGGGACAGAAGAAAGACGTTTTGGAATATAATGTCATGGTCAAAGCTTATGGTAAGGCAAAGCTTTATGATAAAGCCTTTTCCCTCTTTAAGGGCATGAGAAATCATGGGACTTGGCCTGATGAGGGAACATATAATTCTCTTATCCAAATGTTCTCTGGCGGTGATTTAGTGGATCAAGCAAGGGACCTCTTAGATGAAATGCAAGGAGCGGGGTTTAAACCGCAATGTCTAACCTTCTCTGCTGTTATTGCATGCCATGCCCGTCTGGGCCAGCTTTCTGATGCAGTTGATGTTTTTCAAGAAATGGTAAAGACAGGAGTAAAACCTAATGAAGTTGTTTATGGATCTTTAATCAATGGATTTGCGGAAGTTGGAAAAGTGGAAGAAGCTCTGAAATACTTTCAACTGATGGAAGAAAGTGGGATTCCTGCAAATCAGATAGTGCTGACTTCCCTGATCAAGGTATATAGTAAGCTGGGATGCTTTGACGGAGCAAAACATTTGTACAAGAAGATGAATGATTTGGAGGGTGGACCTGATATTATTGCATCAAATAGTATGATCAGTCTTTATGCAGACCTTGGAATGGTATCTGAAGCTGAATTGGTTTTCAAAAATTTGAGAGAAAACGGTCAGGCTGATGGGGTTTCCTTTGCAACCATGATGTATCTGTACAAGAGCATGGGCATGCTTGATGAAGCCATTGATATTGCAGAGGAAATGAAGCAGTCAGGATTACTGAGGGACTGTGTGTCATATAATAAGGTAATGGCATGCTATGCCACCAATGGTCAGCTACGTGAGTGCGCTGATTTGTTGCATGATATGGTTGGCCAGAAATTGTTGCCTGATGGTGGAACCTTTAAAATGTTATTCACTGTGTTGAAGAAAGGAGGCTTTCCAACTGAAGCCATAACACAGCTAGAGTCAGCATATCTGGAAGGAAAACCTTATGCTAGACAAGCAATCATTACCTCTGTTTTCTCTGTAGTGGGTCTGCATGCTTTAGCGCTCGAGTCCAGTGAGTCTTTCACAAAAGCAGAAGTAGCTCTTGATTCCTTCGCCTACAATGTTGCTATATATGCTTATGGGTCATCAGGGGAGATTGATAAAGCTTTGAAAACTTTCATGAAAATGCAAGATGAAGGCCTTGAACCAGACCTTGTTACTTATATTAATCTGGTTCACTGTTATGGAAAAGCTGGTATGGTTCAAGGTGTGAAGAGGATTTATAATCAATTAAAATATGGAGAGATCAAGCCCAATGATTCTCTAGTCAAGGCTATTGTGGATGCCTATAAAAGTGCTAACAGGCATGATCTTGCTGAATTAGTTAACCAAGACATAAGATTTGGTTTTGATTCACAACAATATTCTGATTCTGAAACTGAAGTCTGATGATATTTCTCTGGGCTTTTAGAACCAGTAAATTTGTATTTTTGTCTATTATGTACACTGTACAGAGGCAAAGTTCGTTTTCAAGCATTGAAGAATTTGTATGTATGGATAGTACAGTAGTCAAACTGATACTACTTTCTTGATGTAAACCAGGGCTACTCCCGTTTCTTAATATTAGATGCTAATAGCAAATTTTGCCTGTTCTCTGCCTTTAACATATGTGGGCCTTTTATGCGCATTGATTCCTCAGAGTTGGTCCTGCGACCTTCTTGGTCCTGCTTAATTTATGCCTTGGGAAAGCAGTAATGCTTTTGTAGCTGCATGACATTTTTACAACTTTCTTGATCTAAAATGGTTATTTTCATTGACAGAAAATGATGTCCTTTTCTTTTCCAGGCTCTTGGTGGTGTTTCTTGTTATTTTGATTCTGTAAAACCTGAATATCGGAACAGTAATTTCTTACAGTTAATCCAGTTCAGAACTATCACAATAATCTCTAGAGACTCAAAGCAGAAATGAAGTAGGGTAAAGGGTACATCCACATGCATAGGTTTCTGCGATCCCTGTATTTCCTCAGTGAAAATGGGAATTTGAGTTTTCTATAAAACAACATTCAACGAGCACAAATTGCATCAATAGAGTTTAGGAATGGAATGTGAAACGGGCATGTTCGAGATCAAATATGGATGAAAGTTAAGAAATAACTTTCAACCTTCTGTCATTTCATATCGTCTCTCTACATTTCAAAGCATTATGTAGTTTATCAATCATAAAATGTGCAAAATAAATTGAAGGTTGAAAGATCTATTCAATTAATTGGGAGACCAAAAAAACAAAAGAATTTACCGGAACTAGTTGTCATAATGGCTCCCAGGAATTAAACATGGAAAATAACTGTCATTTGTTTATTTCCTGAAGCTGATTGTATTAAAAGAAGGGTATGAAAGCAGAGGAAGTTTTCGTATATGTTGAGAAGTTCCCATGAACAAAAACTTGGTGTCTTCTCATCTCATTGCAGGAGATTCTGTGCAGACAGCATTCTGAGCACTCATTTTACCCAGGACATTGACAGGAGAGAACATCTTCTCATATGACAAATTTCACGACGTCTTCCAATTCGGCGGTAAAAAACAGCTGTTGCTGAAAAAATTGGTGTCCATAGATTGCTCCTGCTTCCGTCACTCTTGAATTTTGAACATGCATGTCTTCTTTGGTTCTGGATGTCCTGAGGACTTGAAGCTTTTCTTCAGCCTTAAAAATTGTTAAGATGATTTACACAGAAGATCCCTTTTACCTGAGACTATTAGCCGTACATCAACACAACTGTTAAGTCTCAATCCAACTTTTGCCAGGCATTTTGTCAACCCCTCTCTTTGTCATTAAATTCCGAATCTTAACAGCATCATCCCATCGGCCAACTGCTCTATAGACATTAGCTAGATAAACATAGCTCAAGTGGTGGTCAGGTTTCCATTCCATCGCTTTCTTTGCAATGCTCTCTGCAATGGCAGAGTGTGGACTGGCTGCACAAGCACCAAGAAGAACTGTCCAAAGAGATGAATCATCTCTGCAATCTGCATTCTCTATCAAATTTTCAGCTTCTTCAAGCAAACCAGCACGCCCTAGAAGATCAATCATGCAATTGTAATGCTCTGCTCCTGGTTTAATGTCATATACCTCAGTCATCGCTGCAAAATATTTCCGCCCTTGGTCAACCAAACCAGCATGACTACAGGCAAAAAGAACCCCGACAAAACTAATATAATCAGGCTTAATCCCCTCCTCGATCATCTCATCAAATAATTTAAGAACTTCTTCCCCTCTTCCATTCTGAGCAAATCCATAAATCATTGAGTTCCATGTTATCAAATTTCTAACTGGCATCCGCACAAAAATTGTCTGTGCAAAATCAACACAACCACATTTTGCATAAAGATCAACTAAAGCTGATTCTGTGATCACATCTCTCCAACTACACCTTCTCACATACTGGCAGTGGACCTCTTTCCCTTGTCTTATTGCTGCCAAGCCTGCACAAGCGCGAAGAACAGTTCCAAAACTATAGGTATCAGCCTTTTCCCCTTCTCTGAAAATCCTAATAACAGATTCAAAGTCACCATTTTGACAATATCCCCCTAACAATGCAGTCCAGGAAACTGAATTCTTCACACTCATTCTATCAAAAACGCATTGAGATTCAGTAACCAACCTACATTTCCCATACATATCAACAAGGCTGCTCTCAACAAAAACATTTCCACTCAATCCTGAAGTAATAACCTTAGCATGCACTTCTTTACCTTGTTTCAACCTCCCCAAATTACCACAAGCAGTCAGCACCGTCCCAAACGTAAACATATCCGGAAACAACCCATATTTCCTATACATTAAATAAAAGAATCCTACAGATTTATCATAAACATCATTCCTGGTAAATGCCGAAATGATAGAAGTCCAACAAACAGCATCTGGTTGAGGCAATTCAACAAACACCCGGCTCACATCATCCACTGCAGAATTCCTTCCATACATATCAATCAAAGCAGTAGAGATAACATCATTCAAATCAAACCCACGAATCATAACCACCCCATGAAAGCATTTACCAAGTCTTAAGTCGCCAAGTTCCGAACACGCCTTTATCACAGCAGATAAGGTGAACCCATTTGGCTCGATACCAAGACCCAACATTTCCATAAACAATTCAAGAGACTTCTTTGGTTTTTCTACCTTAACATAACCAGTTATCATCGAAGTCCAAGAAATCACATCTTTGCAAAACAATCCATCAAAAACCCTTCTTGCCTCAGAAAAATTAGGACCCAACTTGAAATAAAGTGCAAGCAAACTATTCCCTACAAATCTATCAGTGTCAAGACCGGATTTGATAACATGAGCATGGAATTGGAGACCATGATTAAAGGAGACAACTTTAGTACAAGTTTGCAAGAGAGAAGCATAAAAGAACGGTTTGTTGAAGAGTTTTGTCCAGTCTATGGAGTTTAGGAGATGAATTGCTTCAAAAAGTGCACCAGTTTTGCAGCAATGGATGATTTTGTATGCTTTGGGTTCTGGGTTTTCGAAAGTTTTTAGAGAAGCAAAAGTGATGTAATGGCGTTTGCTAGAGAAAAGAAACTTCATAACTGATTTTTGAAAATTTCTGGCGGTTTGGACATGCGGTGGTTATGCACCACTACCCCATGACTTCTCTCTGAGGTGGAAGGAGCTCATGCGATAACTATACATACACATACATATATATATATATATATATATAAAAGGAAAAGCTGAAAGCTGAAAGAAAGATGTTTCTTATCAATAAATCAGTTCAAGAGTGGATTTTTTGTTTAAAATTTGGTAGAAAGATAATAACTTAGTTTTGATTTATTTATTTTTTGGTTTTTCAAGAAAATGGTATCTCGAATTAGTTTTTCACTTTGAAACTAAGCCGTTCTTGATCAGATCTTAAACAAATCATTGCTATCTAAAACGGTACATTCACACAAAAATTTTACGGTCTCTCTTAATCGAATGTTATTAGAGTGTAACGTGAGAAGTATACCAACTTGCCAACCACACTCAGCCTCCAAAAGTTATGGTTTAAGCTTGATGGTTGACACTATTTGTCCCAAAAAAAAAAAAAAAATCAAATCTACTTGTAATTTTAGTTCATTTGAAAATAGTTTCCACACTTTTAATTTGTGTTTTTAAACTTTTTAAATTTTATTTTTTCTAAATTTAATATATCCCATAATTTTCAGATATTACCTCTCCTTTCTAAAAAAATCAATTTTTAGAATTTTGATATGAATTTTTGCATACATTTTACGAAAAATCCAATCCATTTTCTAAAAAAAATCCAAAATTTTTTAAAGTTAGAAATTATATTTTTTATTTTTGGAATATATATATATATATATATATAATGATCTCAAATCTTTTGAAAAGTTCCAAATAAATCTTATTGAATGATTTTAAAACTATTTATATAATTGTTATTTTGTTTGGGATAAATGAAAGAAAATTGAAGCAGGATGGACTAAATTTAAAAATAAAAAATAAAAAATAAAATTTCAAAACACAAACTAAAAGTTTAGGAATTGGTTTTAAAATACACTAAAGTTTAGGGGAAATTTGGCCTTTTTAGCCTTTAAAATTGTTCTTTCTTATTCTTTATACATATTAACAAAGTTGTTAATTGTTATTTTTTACCAATATTTTTTGTTTATATTTTTCTAAAATATCTTTTTCTTTTTAAAATTGTTAGTCATCAAATATAATCTTGCATGACACGGAACCAAGCTTAATTGTTATTATTTTTAAATACAACACATAAAAATTTTAACAAACAAACACATGCATCACTTAAAATTTTATATAGATAAATATTTTAGAACATATATAAATAGAAAGACAGATAATCTCTCCGAAGACAAGGAATATATGAAAATGTAACTAGAAAACCTTAAAATAAAACGACAACAATAACAAGGTCGGTCCATACAAAAATCTCTTGAACTAATATTGTTCGTTTTGATGTATACCTCTTCTATTTTTTTTTCTTTCTGATTTTAGTACTTTTATTAAGATCTTGCCACTATAGTTCACAACCAAGTGAAAGATTTTGCCATAATAAATTTATCCCTGCAAATTTTGGATCTAACAATGACTAGATTTGGCTGTTTTAAGACTTGAAAATTTTGAATCTAAAAACTAAACCTAAAATTTTGTGTTTGATTTGAATTTTAAAATGATTTTTTATTTTGAAACGTTGTTTGGAAGGTTTTAAAGGTCTAAATTCAATTTGTTTGGAAAAATGCTAAAAGATGATCAAGGGCTCAAATGATTCTTAAACGACAAAAATATGTCCCAAAACAGAGGATCATCCTCACTAATGACAAGTTCGAAAGCAAAACTGTATGTACTAGCTAGAACTGACACAAAAGAAGAAATAAATTAGGAAAACAGAATTAACTTTAATTAAGACATGATTGATTGCTAAATCCATGGAGAACTACTCCAATGCTTGAAGAGAAATTTCACATTGTGTGCACGCACATTGGCAGGATACTTAAACTTACGTTAGAGCGGTTCGGAAACATATATATATATATAGAGAGAGAGAGAGAGAGAGAGAGAGGTTAGATTATAAGTTCCTTTTAGAAGATGGACAATTGCTGGAGAGAAGAAGTCATAAGATAAATCATGGAAGATTACGAAGGAAAATCTTAATTTAAAGAGTATTAATAATAATTGGATACTTATAATTCAGAATTTTCTTGACATGCTTATAACTAATTATCTTGGTTATGCCACCATATACTCTTAGATTTCTGGTCCTTTCTTCCTTACCAGCTTCAAGAAACATTGAAACCAGTTCAAGATGCATAAACTTTCCCAGGCCAAGGTATAGTACAACGCAAAATCTTAGGATTGGGAGTAGAAATTTCCAATGTTTCGTCCTTAGAGATACAGAACACCCTTCATATACTAAGATTGATAAGTCTTCTGGGCCATTGAACAATTACTTCTTCTTCAAGTCTTTTACCTGAGATGCTAAGATTGCCAAGAGAGGAACTAACAACCTCAAAACGTTCCAAACGCGAGCTTTCGATGTTGATAATGATCAACTTCTTCAAGCTTAATTTACTTAATGTTGCACATGGATGAGATCCATTCACCAAGAGGCCATAGACTTAAGTCAAAATAAAAAACACAACAATCCAAACCATTATTGACTCATCCACATTTAAAAATATTTAAACAGTGGTGTATCAGAAAACCTCGAGAAACCTCAACACTATAAAAGTTCTTTTCTAAGGTGACTTATCAGCTTCGTTTTAGTTTGAAAAGGCAAGAAAAATACTTGAATTTTGTAATTTCTTTCTTTATTTTATTATTTTTTAAGAGGGAAAGCACGCATTCCAGCATTGGGGTTGGTGCCACGTGTCAGTTTTTTAGGCCTCATGTGATGTCACGTATCGTCAATGGTTATGAAATGGCCTAATAAGTCTATTATTTACCCAAAAAAAAAAAAAGTTTAATGACAAAAATTACTCTCGATTAATTGTAATTTGATAATTTTAGATTTTTATTATTAATTTACATAATTTGAATCACAAAAATATTGATTTTCAGATAAATCTTATTAAAATTGTATTTTCTCCGTTATTTGTAATAATCCATCTAATTGGTCGTTATTTTTTATTTTTGCCTTTTAACATTTTTTTTAGGTTGATCATTAATTTTTTTTCACTTTTTTAAAAAAAGCATTAAAAATGCTTTGCCTCTATTTTTCAAGAGGGATTTCTTTTTCATCACTCCTTTACCTATAAATAAATAAAAATTTATTAAATTTATCAATTTTTTTTTTGTTCTCCCCGAGAAAGAGCTTTCACCTTTTGAAATTATCTTTAAGAAAATAAAATTAGAAAATTTTTTTAAAAAATGTTTTCTAGCTCTAACAATTTTAAATGCATATTATATATTTGAATCAATTGTGAGAATGCAAAATCCTATAAAACACGTGAAGATAAAAAAAATATTAAATAAATATAGTTATATTTAAAATTTAATGATTGACAATCACAATAATAAATTTATTAAAATGGTAAAAGAAAAATTTTAGTTAAAATTAATTATTTGATAATTTTAATCGATCAAATTCAACCAATAAATATTTATATTTTATTAATTATAAAAATTGATTGTTTTAATGGATAATGATACGACATAAAAATTATTTTTTAAAATTAAATTATTTTTATACAAATAATAATTTTATTGACTATAAAAAATCAAAGAGATTAATATATAAAAATTTTAATTAGAAAAAATCTCTCTTGAGAAATGGAGTGAAAGCATTTTTAAGGTTTAAAAAAAATTACAACAAAAATAAATATTAATATCAATTGGATTGAACGTCACAAATATGCTCAATCCCAAAATAAAGTACATAGTAGAAGTTGAAATTATACCGATTGATAAAAAAAAATTGAAATTATCAAATCAAAAGAGGCATTTTTGTCATTGATGCCAAAATATAGTACATAGTAGTCAAATAAAAAAATTCAAAAGTTATAGATATGTGTGTATTTGACATAATTCAGGGTGTTTTTGGGTGTTGAGCCCTAACCAAATTCCAATTGTTGTTTCAAAGTTCCTTGTGTGGAACTAACCACGATGGCATAGTGAAATTAAGTTTGAAGAAGGTGAATGAAAGAAATTAAAATCCTAGAGTTTGAAAGAGGGATTCTCAATTCTTGTGAAAAAAAGTAGAAGTTGAATTCAAATAATTTGCAAAAGCAATTGTTTCTCTTATCTCTTGAAAATCAAATAATTGTGTGGGCACAAGAATCCAGGAAAGATAATCATTCACTCCATCAAAATTAGTGTTCAATTTGAAATTTTTGTTTATTTTTAAGAAAAATCATAAATGCTTCTTTACTCTCCCATGAGAGATTTTAAAGCAACATGCGGCCATTATTGATATCCAAAATAAACCTTTTAATTCATTAGTAGTGCTACATGATATAAGTGATATTAAAAAATAAATCATCATAATTTTATAAACATATTATTTTTTTAAAGGGATACAAAGAAGAAACAAAAGATGAATAATTTTTAATAGGAATATTATGTCATTTAATTTTTTTATTTTTAAAAATAATGTCTCGTTATCATGATATCGTTAAGCATTTTCCTTCAATCATGTGGACATGTGTATCCAATAAAGAATTAATAATTAGACTAGCCGATAATTAAAGAGGCCTTTCTGTCGAGTATAATTGATTCATACTATGCTAATTCAGAGTTGGAAGATTGTAAGATTGAGATTATTTTAGAGAACTTCACGAATTTTCTAACTTAAAATTTTCTTGTTTGGTCTTTGTAAAGAATTCAAAAGTTTTATTTTGAAAATTAATTCTTGTCCTATTTAATATTTCTGTATATAGGAAATGTATTTGTGAGCCTGTGTGAGCATTAATGAATTCAGAATTCAATTGATTCTAAGTTATATAAAATTATCTATTTTTGAAACCGGAACTAAAGTCACAGATCTTCTAGCCCCATATCGTCATGGAGGAAAAAACGAACTATTTAGCATAGAAAAATTTATGTTGATAACGCATTCTTTTAAT